ATTTGTGCATCAAAAGACAATATTAACTGAATAAAAAGGCAACCCACAGAATGGGAGAAAATATTTGTAAATCATATATTTGATAAGGGATTAATATCCAGAATATATAGAAAACTCTTAAAACTCAACAACAAAAAGAGTAACGACTCAGTTCAGAAATGGGCAAAAGACTCAAATAGGCATTTCTCCAAAAAAGGTATATGAATGGCCAATAAGCACATGAAGATGCTCAACATCACTAATAATTAGGGAAATGCAAACCAAAACTACAATGACATTCTACCTCATACCCATTAGGCTACTATCAAAAAATATAAACTAACAAGTGTTGACAAGGACCTTGAAAAATTGGAACCATTGTGCACTGTTGGTGGAAATGTAATATGGTACAGCCACTATGGAAGACAATATGCCTTAAAAAATTAAAAATAGAATTACCATTTGATCCAGCAATTCCACTTTTTGGGTATACACCCAAAAGAACTGAAAGCAGGATCTCGAAGAGATATTTTTATACCCATGTTTATCACAGCATTACTCATAATAGCTAAAATGCGGAAGCAACCCAAGCATCCATTGACAGATAAACGGATAAGCAAAATGTAGTATATACATACAATGGAATATTATTCATCTTTAAAAAGGAAGGAAATTCTGGGCCGGCCCGTGGCTCACTCAGTAGAGTGCGGTGCTGATAACACCAAGGCCACGGGTTCGGATCCTATATAGGGATGGCCGGTTTGCTCACTGGCTGAGCGTGGTGCTGACAACACCAAGCCAAGGGTTGAGATCCCCTTACCGGTCATCTTTTAAAAAAATAAAATAAAATAAAAAGGAAGGAAATTCTGACAATATAGATGAACCTTGAGGGCATTATCCTAAGTGAAATAAACCAGGTATTAAAAAAGGCAAATACAAGGGGTCTTCAAAAAGTTCATGGAAACATTCATATTATCTTTCAATTTTATTTATTTTTTGTCTTTACAAACTTTTTGAAGTATCCTCATACTATATGATTACACTAATATGAGATACTTAGAGTAGTCAAAATCATAGAGACAGAAAGTAGAATGGTGGTTGCCAGGGGATGGGGAAAAGAGGGAGTGAGGAATTATTGTTTAATGGGTACAGAGTTTCAGTTTTACAAGATGAAAAGACTTATGGAGATGGATGGTGGTGATGGGTGCACAACATTATGAATGCACTTAGTAAAACTGAACCGTATCTTAAAAATGGTTATCTTAAGGTAAATTTTATGCTATATATATTTTACTACAATAAAAAATTGAAAACACATTCTCTGAAACTCTAAATACAATATTCAAATGTTTAAATATATATGAATACATGCGAATTATGTATGCTGTGTGTATAATATACCCAGACACATACATAAATAAGTGGTGATTGTACGTCTTGTAAAGATCTCTAATTTCTCTTCATATATAATTTTAGTATAGTCTAGTGATTAAGACCATGAACTCTGGAGACAGACTTCTGAGCTCATACCCCACCTCAGATACTTACTAGCTGGCAAGTTATTAAACCTCTCTATTCCTCAGTTTTCTCATCTATAACATGAGGATTATAATAGTAACCTACTGCAAAGGGTTGTTTATGAGGATTAAATGAGTTAATACAGGTAAAGTGCTCAGAACAGTGTTTGCACACGGCAGGTACTGTTTATGTGTTAGTTCTTTGTTTTCTAAGCCAAAAAACAGTTCTAAAGAGTTGCTTTGGTTTTTTGTGAAATTGCTATGTGCCCATGGCCTTTGACACAGCACAGGGATCCTTTCTGCCTGACAAGCTTTCCTTAGGCATCTAATTTCAACCACTTCTTAGGAGTTATCACTGACTTCAGAAAGGGGAGCAGGGAGGAGGGAGGGACCCAAGTATCTCCCCCAACTAAACTTCAAACCCCAAGTGAGTCCATATAGTCATCTAGCATAAATAACATTCTACTTGAATTAAGAGTTAACACAATCAATATTCTTTAATTATAAGACATTTTTCTTAGCTTATAGTTTTGTTCTCTCCTGCCTAATCACAGGATCTGGCAGAGGCAGGCACATTTCGGGAAATGTTAAGGAATCACAAGAGTCATATGAGTCATCCATCTCCTTCCCTCACATCCACTCAGTCATCGACTCCTGTTCATTTTTTCTTACAACATCTTTCTTAATCACCCCAATCACAGGAATGTACTCTGTTGGGCCCCACAAGAGGGGCAGATACCAGTAAGTAATAGTCCTGGACAGGAGACATTTGCAGCACATCTTTCTAGTGGAGGCCCTAGATTTCTGCTTGCTTCTCCTCCAGTGTCATTTCCCTTAAGTTGCACCCTGCTCAGGGTCTTCGGGGGCAAATAAAGCTCTTCTCCTGGACTGACTCTGCCAACACACCTTTCTGCCAAGCCAGGCTCCTTACTGATCACACAGGAGCATTCGCACCCTCACTTCTGGGTGTCTGCTCCTGCATTCCCCCCACTGGGAATAACTGTTTCCCCTGCTTAAATTCCACCCATCCTGAAGGTCTAGCTCAAGTTTTACCTCTTCCATAAAACTACCAACATTCATGGTTTTCTCTCTTCTGAACACCTATGGAACTTACTGTTTGGACTACACTGTCTAGCCATTACAAAGCCAGTCTCCAGTATATGATCATTCGCTTCTTAACAAACAGTCTGCACATAGCTTCATGGGTCCCAACCAGTCGTGCCCTGCTACACTTGGAGACACCCAGCCCATCTGCCAGCTATGGACTCCCTTTACCCCTCACTTCTATTGAGAGAGGCACCAAGTACAGTGGTTAAAGGCATGGCCTCTGGAATCAGGTTGCCAGGGCTGGAAGCCTGGGTCCTCCACTTCACCGGCTATGTGACTTTGGGCAAGTGTCTTTGGCTCATTGTGCCTCAGCTTCCTCATACAAAATGGGACTAATAACGGCACCTACAGGTTAGGTAGTTGGTAAAGATTAAATGGAATAGTTCAAGTAAAGCACTTAGAAAACTGCAGAGCATAGAGTAAACACTACATAAACGCTAGATGTTATTAAGATGTCAGAATATGAGCTATTGAGCTAAAAAGACTAAGCTGGTAACCTAATCATTTGTATAAATACTCAGAGGATTAGAGCTGGAGGAGCTCTTAGAACTCACGGAGTTCAATCTCCTTATTTCACAAATGAGAAAACTGTGGCACAAGGGAGGAGAAATGACTTGCCCAGAGTCTCAACTGGTAAATGTCAGAATCACTATAACTCAAGTCTCCTGACAGCAGATATCTAATGCTTTTTTTCTACCGCACCTCAATGCAATTCTATTAATATTTCTAATGGGATAAAAAGTGTCTGTATTCTAAATAACCAAGTTACAAGCACCACTGTGACAAAACTGATTAAGCTGGGAGTTGCCAGTATTGTCTAGAAGACCAGCTGCTGTTTCAGGTGTGTGGGGGAGGGATTGGGTGGGGGGGAGGGTGCTGGAGTGGCACTGTGAAAATCAGGAGACTAATGAGATGGGTGACCTTAGACAAGTCCCTTCCCTTCTCTGGACTGCAGTTTTGCCATATGATTTTGGAAATCAGATGTCCCCAACTGAATTAGAGGCACTTTAGGGGCAAGGATTATGCTGTACAGTCTAAGATTCTAAGTCAATCTACAAATCCTGGCTACTGAGCAAGGCAGACACTTAAATAATTATTGACTGACAAACTTCATGCTTCCCTCAGATCTCCTTTTCAGTGAGGTCTTTCTACCCCACCCTATTTACAATGGCAAACCCCTTCCCTGCTTTGTTTTGCTCCATAGACTTAGCATATATTTTACTTTTTTCTGACACTCCATATATTTTACTTTTTTCCCCCCACTGACTCTGCCAATAACATATTAACTCCACAGGGCAGAGACTTGATCTGTTTTGCTCACTTTTGCATCCTCAGTCCCGAGAATACTGCCTGGCACAGAGCAAACTGCATAATTTTGTTGACTGAATCAATAGAGGGCATCAAGGTTTCCCAATCAACTTCAGCTTGAGTTTCAAAACACAAGACACTGGTAAAAATGCAATAAGCGAATTGTAGGTGATTATGTCAATGTGATAATAAAACCTAAAAAATCTGGAACTACTGTTGTCACCTAAAATGTCCAGAAGGGCACGGGTGCCAGAAGCCGTCCACGAGGAAGTCATTAACCCTCAATTTTTTTCACGGCAACTCTGCCGGGTTCATTAAAAGTTGCTGCACAGAGTGTGGGTACATAGGAACTCTCTTAACTATCTTTGCAACTTTTTCATAAGTCTAAAATAATTCCAAAATGTAAAGTTTATTAAAGAGAGGGAGAGAAAAAAAACCCAAATCTGCCCGGATGCTGTTCAGGGTTTCACAACGGATTTCTTGGACGACAGAGAAGGCCATGAGCCTCACGTCCTTTTCCTACAGGGACTGGGATCTTTCAAGGTTCCTTTCAACTTCCATCCCCAAGTGCCACCTTAGATAGGGAGGATCCATGCGGCCCCGGGCAAGGAGGGCCGGCGCCTTCCCAGCTCTCCCGGACTTCGGTCACCATCTCCACTAGCTCCTTGCCCCTCATCCCCTCCTGGGTTCTCAGGCGACATTCCGGGTGCTGACTCTCGGCCCTCCGACGACGTGGGCATGTTTCGGTCCCGCCCTTGGGCGCCAGCCTCCTCGGCTGTTCCCGACGGAGCAAGGGAAGTGCGAGAGCAAGTCGTCGTCCTCCTGCTCCGCCACCGCCGCCCCGCCCGGGATCTGGGAAAACCCCGCCACTCCTGGGTCCCTCACTTCGAACCGGGCGCGAGCGCCGGGCCCCAGAGAGCAGGCGCGGGAGGCTGGGATCGCCGAGAGCGAGGCTTCGCCAGGGCAGCCTCCAGTGCCCACCCCCTCCTCGGCCCCAGGCGCTGCGGCTCCCTCGCGGGCCTCTCAGCCGCGACCCCCGCCGTCCCCTGCCCTCCAGCCGCCGCCCCGGTCCCCGAGGGTCGCACTCACCCGTGGGCGCGGAGCTCCCGCGGCCGCTGGCGCAGAGCAGCAGCGCCCACAGACCGCATAGTCGTGCCGGCCGCTCCATGCAGCCCCTCGCGTCGGAGCCCAGCCGGGCTGGAGCCTCGGCAGTCTCCGCCTTCTTCGTTCCCTCTCCCACTTCCCGGCTCCGCCGCCCTGGAGGCGAGGGGCCGGCGCAGACGGGAAAAGCCGCCCCGCCCACCGGCCGCAGGTAACCCGAGCCGGCGAGCGCGGGCACAGGGGGCGTGGCGCCGGCGGCTCCTAGGGCGCGACACCTGGCCTCCTTGTCACGGCACCACCGCCGCTCCGGAGTCGGGTCTCCGACCGAACAGAACTTCCTTGACCACTGCGCGGCCCAGCCCGGGCGTCCCCCCCCTCCGCGCGGCAGAGCCCCCGTCCGCCGGCGTCGCCGCTGCGTGCAGACTTGCGGGGCTTCGGAGGTGCCAAGGGCCGTGCCCTGCTGGACACCGGACACCAGGGCAGAGCTATCTGTGGGAAAGATCCTTGGCCTTGAGTCTGGAAATCTGGCTTTCAGTCCTTGGCCTCTGAGCCCTTGTTTCCTAATCTGTGACTCCAAGGTTAGTAAATACCAGCCCTACTTCACTGGAGTGAAGTACCAGTGAAGCATTTTTAAAAGCACACAGCCAACTTTCTATATGTTAATTTTTCGAAAATATATATTGAGAGGTCGAGAGGTGAGTCGGAGGGTATGGGAGCCGATAAAGGTCAGTGAGGCTGGGGAGGGTGGAAAACAAGAACCCATATGAGTTTCCTACTGCTGCTGCAACAAATTACCACACATTTAGTGACTTAAAACAACAGTTTTATTATGTTACATTTCTAGAGGTCAGAAGTCTTACTGAGCTAAAATCGAGGTGTGAGCAGAGCCCTGTTCCTTCTGGAGATTCTAGGGGACAATCTGTTTCCTTGACTCTTCCAGCTTCTAGACACTGCGCACATTCCTTGGCTTGTTGATGCACCACTCAGATCTCTGCTTCCCTTGTCACCACTTTTTCTCTGATTCTGACCCTTCTGCCTCCCTTTTTGCCGTATAAAAACCCTTGTGGTTACATTGGGCCAACCAAATAATCCACAATAATCTCTCCATCTCAAAATCCTAGATTTAGTCACATCTGTAAAGTCATTTTTGGTATGTAAGGTAGCATATTCATAGGTGTTGGGAATTAAGGCATGGACATCATTGAGGGGACATTGTTTTGTCACCCCCTCCCCCCAAAAAGAATCATGTCTGGATACATGATGAGACCCACTAACTGAGGTGAATTTTGTTGAATTAGGCCAATGTATATACCTAAAACCAGTTGCAAAAAATATAGCAATAAAAATTCTAATAGTATGCCTAGTCTAGACCTCACTCAAAGGTCATAGGGATGTTTAACCTATCTGAAATAAGAGCTCCATTCTTGGAATTAAGGCCCTCGAATTCAGTGAATATTTATGAACTCCTTCCAGAAACCGTGGAAGACACTCATTTAAAAGAAGGTCCTGCCAACAAAGAGCTGCAGCCAGTTTGAAGGTCTATCATAAGAGGAAGAACAAGGAATTGTGGGATACAAACAAGGGCACCTTATAGAAGAGACAGGGCAAGGGAAGCTTCCAGGAGGAGTGCCTGCCAGTGCTGAATCTTGGGATATTGGTTGTTGTGGTTAAAGAATAAATCCTTGCCTGCATATATTATTGAACAAAATAATGTTTATAACAATGCTTTGTAAACTATCAAAGCCCATAGAACTGAGAGATATTACTATTATTATTTTATTTATTTATTTATTTATTTATTTTGGTGGCTGGCGGGTACAGGGATCTGAACCTTTGACCTTGGTGTTATCAGCACCAAACTCTACCCAAGTGAGCTAACCAGCCAGCCCAAGATATTACTATTATTTCCAAATCCTCCCTGCAAATAGGTTGGCCACTCTCTAACCCAAGGCCTCCCTTTGCCATCATCACAGACACATACACTTGTTGACATTTGCTATGAACATTACATAATAAGTTTGTAATAATGTTTCCAAAATGATTATGTCATCTGCCTTTTAAGGAGTCTCCAGTTAGAACAAGAGCCCCTGGGGACTGGCTGCGTGCCATTGTGGGCACTGCCTGCCATAGACTGAGCAAGCACTTAATGAAATGAACAGTAATGGATGGCAGCAAATGATTAGAAAAATAAGGGTCGCAACTTGTCATTAGCCTCCAGAAAAGGCCCTGAGATTTTGATCATTGTGAGGAAAAAGACAAAGAACACCATGGGGAGGAGAGGGACCTCAGTTTTTTCACCAAGATAGTTCTGGCCTGCCGTCTATGAGTAGGACTATCTAGTCAGTTCCCTTTCTTCCCAAACCTAAACATCAAGCAACAATTTTTAAAAATATTTGAAATGCGTGGAGAGGGTTAGGAATGCTGTTTTGTCAACATAAAACTTTTATTTGTAATCCCTGTGTACTTTAACGCAAAGAGCATGTTGGATTGAATTAGGCTACTGCTCTGGTCTGCTGGAAGAATGAAGACAAATGCAAGGCTTTCTAGGATCTGCAGTAAACAAGGAGCTTTCTGTTTGGCTTTGTGCAATCAAAATCATGAGTCAACACCAGGTTTTGCTTTAACCCTTGATGACTTGGGTGTGAGACTACCAATGGCCTTTCTTTTGCTTTGGCCCTGGATAGCTGGAGTTCTGGGCTGCTCTGTGTACCTCCGCTGCTCCAGTTAGCTGTTTTGATCTTTACTGTTCTCACTAAGTCTTTCTTCTTTCTCTAAGTGAAGGCGGAAAAGGGCTTATATGAGGGTACTTCAAAATGTTTCTGGAAAAATAGAATTGAACGATAATACGAATCTTTCCATGAACTTTTTTGAAGACCACTTGTACAAGGAAATATCTAGCAGGAAAGAATAATGTCCATTTTTCCAAAGTCAGGTCTCCTTCAAACCAGTTAGAGACACCCTCCTGAGTTCAAAAATGACATAGATACCAGCATACCTCCCAAGGGCTTAGCTAAAAATGCTGGTCCCATAGGCAGAAATCTCACAAAGGGTCCTTTACCTTTTGTTAAACAGAAACCAAACAGATGCTCACACCACTGCAATGGAAAGAAAAAAGGGAAGTTGAAAACAGGGAATGTCCCTCTTTCTGACTCTAGAGCAGTGGTTCCCAGCCAAGGTTGACTTTGCCCCCTAGGGGACATATGTCAATGTCTTGTGATATTTTTGGTTGTCATGACTGGGGGGAGGGAAACATGCTCTTGGCATCTTGTTGGTAGAGGCCAGGGATGCTGCTAAATATCCTCCAATGCACAGGACAGTCCACAAAACATCATTATTTTGCTGAAAATGACAATAGTGCCAAAGTTGAGAAATGTTGAGCTAGAATACTCTTTGTTGCATTTTGTAATTGTCACCATGTTTCCCAAAAATCAGTGAGAGATCAATGCTAAAAGTACTTACTCTTGACACATCCCTTTCCTGTATCTAGCGCCCTTGGTCCCCCACTTAGCCATGCAGTCATGCAGATGATTGAAAAACATCTCTCAGATCTCTTTCTCCCTCTTCACCTCCGTGGTCCTATTTCAGGTCTTTATCACCTTTTCCTTAGACTATTCATAGCAACGGTCTTCAAAGTGGCCCTGAAGATCCACCCTCCGTGAGAGAGATCTTCCCAATGTGCCAATTGATCACTTCACTCTCCAGCTTAAGCTTCTTTTTAAAATTATGGGGTACAATAAATAATTATGGGGTACAATCTGATGTTTTGATATATATATGTTGTATAATGATCAAGTCAGGGTAGTTAATGTTACCATTACCTCATGCATTTATCATTTCTTTGTGGCAAAAACATGCAAAAGCCTCTCCTCTAGTTATTATGTAATATACAAAAGTCAACTGTTAACCGTAGTCACCGTACTGTGGTATAGGACAATAGAACTTTTTCCTCCTATCTAATTGTAATTTTGTACCTGTTGGCCAACCTCCCTCTGTTTTCCCTTCTCCCTCCTCTCCCCAGTCTCTGGTAACCACTGTTTTACTCTCTGTCTCTATAATATCAACTTTTTTTTAGATTCCACATATGAGTGAGGTCATGTGGTATGTGTGGTATGTGAGATCATGTGTCTTTCTGTGCCTGGCTTATTTTCACTTAATATAACAAACTCCAAGTCCGTCCATGTTGCCACAAATGACAGGATTCCATTGTTTTTATGGCTGAATAGAAATCCATTATTGTATTAGTCGTTTCTGTTGCTTATAACAAAATACCTGAAACTGGGTAATTTGTAAGAAAACAAAATTTATTGCTTATTGTTTTGGAGGCTGGGAAGTCCAAAGTGCAGGGAACACATTTGGTGAAGGCCTTGGTGGTGACAACAGTGACCCAGGGGTCTCACATGGCAGAAAATAGCAGCACAAAGAGAGAGACTAACCTCTTACCTACTCTTCTTTTAAAGTGCTCAGAACCACGCCCATGACCACCCTTTTCAATCCATTCACTACAGCGTGGTCCTACAGCCTAATCACTTCTTCAAGGCCCCACGTTTCAATTACTGTAATAGGATTTCCCACCCTCAACAGTTACAGTGGGAATTTAAGCTTCAGTGAGTTTGGGGAGGCATCCAATCTACAGCAACTGCATATATATACCACACTTTTTAATCCATTTATCCATTGTTGGACACTTAGGTTTATTCCATATCTTGGCTATTATAAATTGTACTGCAATAAACATGGAAGTGCAGATATCTCTTCGACACACTGACTCCGTTTCCTTTGAGTATGTGTACCCAGTAATGGGGTTACTGGATTATATGGTAGTTCTAGTTTTAACTTTTTGAGGAACCTCCATACTGTTTTCCATAATGGCTGTACTAGTTTACACTCCCACCAACAGTGTGCAAGTGTTCCCCTTTCTTCACATTCTCACCAACACTTGTTTTCTTTTGTGTTTTTGATAATAGCCTTTCTAACTGGAGTGAGGTGGTATCTCATTGTTTTGACTTGCATTTCACTGATGATTAGTGATGTTGAATATTTTTTCATATGCCTGATGGCTGTTTCTATGTCTTCTTTTGAGAAATGTCTATTAAGATCCATTTCTCAA